TTCGGTGCTGCTGAGTGCGAGGGGAAATGGAAGTGTCTGGCCAAGTATTGGCAAATACATGGGCTATGAGATAGCAATTTCTCATCAGCATTCTTATGAGTTGGATCGACCCTATCTACCAAAGTGTATCTAATACTTCGCCATGCCTCTCTTCTTTGTTCTCGTTGATGATGTTGTTGTCAGTGGCGTGGCGTAGCGGTGCTGGCCTGGCTGCTGGTTGCAGTGTTAGAAGCAAGCTTTGAAATTATTTTAGCTTTGATGGTATTTTTCTGGTATTTTTTATGGGTATGTGTGTGTGTGTGTTTGTTTTTGTGTGTGTTGCCACAGAGGAGGTGATGCTTGCCACGGCAGCCGAACAGACTCTCTTTTTGCTTGCTCAATTTATGCAAATTAAATTGCAATACTTTATGCTTTTTTTGTGTCACCAAAACAGCCCACACAGTGCTTCTCGCTCTCACTCCATCTGTGCCACTGAGGCTCTATCTCTTTTGCACTTTCAAAGCTTTGTTTGTTGAGGAACAAAAATTATTAACGTTACTTTGATAAATTATGCTCATAAAAATTGCTTAAACGGCAATTTAAGCACGCCCAAAGTTAGTTTATTTTCTGTTTCGCCTTGGTGCGCCTCGATTTATTGGCCCATACACTCATTTGGGCCACAAAGGCTCATTTGCCGAACACGATTCCACGCGAAGTGGAGCTACCAAAATACGCGCTACTAATGGAGCGGCACTACCACACTCGGTGTGCACGGTGGGTGTGGGTGTGCTGCTGCCTGACGTATGGTGCTGCCGTGCGTTAGATTAATAACTGCATCTGCAACTGGGACCGAAACTCAGACTACTACGATGAGGCTGTCTGCCAGTGGTGGCCCCAAACTGTGCCGGTGAACGACACCAACTGAGAGTCCCGTATGTATGTATAAATATATGATTCATATGTGATTGCTGCGTTTCACGTTGTTTGCATTAGTGTTGTGCCCACCGCACGTCGCATGCATAAAGCTGCTGTGGTTTGAAAATTGTTTTATAGAACTGAGCAACCAATAAAGGTAAAACAATACAGCTATCTGAAAATAGGACATTTTTCTTTATGGTAAATGTGTTTTTTGAGTTTTATTTTTCTTTTCTTATGAGGAATATAAATAAAAAACACAAAATGGGATAAAATAAATAATACAAAAATGAAAATCTTTCATATATGTTTTCTATTTTTATATATTTTAAAATATATTTGTAATATATGTTTTAACTTAAAATAAATTCCTGCAAAACCCATCGGTGTAAAACTTGTCGTAAAAGTTTCGTGTGTCTGTGTGCTCGCTCAAAGATGTGCATTGCATGTGTGAGTGTTGTGCCCGTTCCATGCTACAGGTATGAGTGCTGTGCCGTGTCGTGCCTGCCCCCATGTGGGTGTTGCGGCTGCCGCTGAGTTGCTGCTGCAGCAGCACCAGGCTGCTTCGGCTGCTGTTCTTAGCACCTTGGCAACTGGCGCTCAACGGAGTGCCGCAGAACGGAGTCTGCCCCGGCGATGACGAATGTGAATGACTTGCCTCGAGACATGCAGTCAACTTGACGCGCATTTGTCTGGCAATGCGTCTGACCATATATGCATGCAGACTGTAGGCGGGTGTGTGTGTGGTAAAGCGGGGGGAGGAAGATTTTTGCATACTCGTATGTGGTGCACTCATATCTCTGTTGCTGTGTGGTGTCTGTACTGATGTTGTTGTTGTTGTTGTTGTTGTTGTTAATGTGGTTGTGCAACATTTGTGCTCTGTCAAGATGGCGTCATTTGTAACAGAAGTAACAGCAGTAACAAGAAGGACAGGTACGGCTCCCTGCTCTCGGAGCCCTCACGCCCTGTGAGAGGGCTAACAATCTGTTGAGATACATAGCAATGACGTTGCCATAATTTGTTTTATTTTATGAAGTTTGCAGTGCAAAAAGTTTAAAATCAAGACAACTTCTGGGGTTGGGTGCAGCTCCTGGAAATGAATTGAATTAAAGTTCTTAAAACGAATCAAAAATTGAGTTGTTTCAAAGAAATTATTAAAATTCTGCAAAGGAATGGAACTTTTCCCAGAGAAAGTTGCTTTAAATGGAAATTAAAAAGGGAGGGGTCTGTGGGGAATGTGTGTGTAAAGTTTTTCCAAAGAGTTTTCCCACTCTCCAACTTACATTCCAACTCATTTGCATTTCAAGTTGCTGCATTTCCATGGAAATCTCTCTACTATACCATTAACCCATTGTTCTTTCAGTTTTTTAGTTGTTGTTTCCTTTTTTTCCGCAGTGCCCATGATCCGATGCCAATTTACATTTACAACTTTTAAATCTTATAAAACTTTACAATCCATGCAGTTTATGCCTGGGATTTCATTTCAAACGAAAGAGGAACAAACAAAAATATGAACATTCTGTTTACTCCCCCGTTTGCTCTCTGTCTGTCTGTCTGTCCGTCTGTCTTTCATTTCTAGCAAAAGTTTTCCGCCCCGTCGTGCCTTTCTTTGTTTTCCCCGCTGCGACCCTGGACCAACGCTTAATTCAATTAATTTTTATTTAGTTTTTCATATAATATTTGCTCGGTCTGCACATTTTTAAGCAAATACCCGACTCGCCGGCTAAATGAAATGTTATTTGCATAAAAATTTCCATTTCAGTTTTCTGTTCGCTCTCCTTTTTTTTTCTTTTCATATTTTTCATGTCTGTTCTGTCTTTCCTTTTGTCCTCTCGCACATCTCGGGACTCGGTTCTATCTCTTTGGCCATTAACACACAGTTTGCTCTTGCCGGCATGCCCGACAACATTTCCCATGCTTTTTTTTTCGACTAAGCGTATTTTACACATTTAATAGGAAAAGCTATCGCATTGTTTCCAGCTTCTTGTAGAATTTTTTTAGTTTTTGCTTAAGAAGAAAAATGGAAAATGATAAAGACGGAATAAAGCTAAAGCGTTTGGGCCTCGTAGGTGGACTATGGAGTCGTTTTTGTTGTTGTAAGCCGCGAAAGAAATTACTTTATTTTAATAGGACTTCATTTAATCCAAGCGCATTATGAGGACAGGCCGTCAGCAAAGGAACGGAAGAGGCAACACAAAAGGAAAGGGAGAAAAAAACAGGTTCAAGCTGGCGGGGAGCCACAGCGCTTGGGCAATTTGGTTTCCCCATTCATTTTGTGGCGCACGCTGCGTATACGCAATCTGCGATGCTTTATATTATAAAACGGTGCGTGGTGGCGGGCTGGCTGGCCTGGGCTGGGCTGTTGGTTGTAAAGGCTTGGAGAGGCCAGCCAAATGAGTTCTGGGCCTCTGTAGAGCGACAGACGTCACCCGACCGACAGGCAAACAAACAACAAACACGCCCACTCAAACACATGCATAATACTCTCCCTAGAAGAGGTGGTAAGAGTATCTGTGAGATCCATGTGCATTCGTTGGCATGACAGCTTTATTGCTAATTGAATGTGGAGAGATTAGGTTCGTGACAGATTCCAAAAGAATACTTATTTAATGGGAATATCTTTCGCATATCAATAATAGAGATTATCATGAATATAGTCAATGCCAGATAGCAGAGTTTGAGGGCTCGTCTTTGCTTCCAGGACAAATTTATACGTTCGACTCGAGACGCAGAAGCGAATGCTGAAATCGCCATTGCCATTTACATTTAAAGAGTATGCAAAAAGTGAGTGAAACGAGTGTGAGAGAGACCCGACGACAAGCAGCTTGTTTGATAGAAAAGTTTCATTTCCGCTTTTCATTAGCTCTCAACGGTGTGACACAAGCCGGGGGCCCGAATGAATGTTTGGTATGGGGATGGTAAAATGCGTAAATACCACACACACAAGCACAGAGAGACAGCAAGAGTCACACACATTTAAGGCCATAATGAGATATATACAAAAGCTGAGCCAGCTCAGCGCCAAATCGGGCAGAGAGCGAGTGTGAACCTCTAACCACGTGTTAATTTTACTCCTTTTTGCCTCTTTCTCCTCTTCGGCTGTTCCCCTGCTCCACATTCTGGTTGTGCTTCTGCCCCTTCATTGGGGGGACACTCCAGCTCCCCAAACACCCCAATCCGTACTTGCCGTACATCCAATTTCTGCTGTTGATGTTCTTGTCGTCCTCGTTGCCTCGCTCGCTCTCGCTTCCTCTCCCTGAAGTGAACTAAAAAGCTTGAATGGCGCTTATGTCGGTCGGGTTCTATTTGTCGGGCTGTGGATATGTTGATGTTGTTGGGGGCTGCCTCTGCCTCTGCCACTGCCTCTGCCCGAGCCACTGCCACACAGTTGTTTTTTCTCTTTTGGCCAAACGGCAGCCAACTAGCTGCTATATTAACTGACTTACTGGGCCCGCCCCCGTTTGCCACATGTGAGTGCAAACACGCAGCGTAATGAAGTAGCCAGAGAGCCAACCGTAATGGCTGACTGAGCGTCATAATAATCTCAGAGTGTGAGTGCGTGCGTCGCTCTTCCTCTCCCTCTCCCTCTCTCTCCATGTGTGTGTGGGAGTGTGTGATCCTAGTGGGAGTTGGAGATGGTAAAAGGCAGTGAAAGATACAGATACACAGGCACAAGTGACGCCGTCAAAGGTTATTCAACTGCCACGCACAGCACGAACCGGGGGGCACAGCACCAGCTCCAGCACAGGACTCACTGGTGGTGGTCCCTCTGCAATGTGTGAAGGCTTTCCTTTTTCTCCTCCATTCCATATGCCATGCCACAGATAGATAGGTAGACAGATGGCTATATGTATGGATGGATTGCTGGGCTATCTGGCTGGCTGGCCGGCTGGTTGCTTGGTCGGCTGGCTGGCTGGTCAGATGGAAGGGAATGTGCAATACCGAATGGAATTCTTGCATTTCAACCTAAACATTTCCCTAAACGTTCCGCATCCGATTCACTTTGCACGCCATTTCCGCTGCCAAACATGTCTGGAGGCGACTCCAGGGAGCCGAGCCCTGGCATGCCATTCCACAGCGTTGAGGCATTTTTGGGCTGGCGGGACGTCTAGTATCTGGTGCTAGTGATGCTAGTCTATCAGATTTAGATTTATCAGCTGATTTATGGACATGCCTTACTTTGCTCTTGAAACGTTTGCTTATAGGCGGGAACAAAATTGCGACATGCTGTGGCTTCCACAGACTACATTTAGATATATAGAACCCAATTAATGGTTAGTAAACTGTCGCTGCATGTGTGCTGTCAATTTATCATTAAGTTTGTCGGAATCTGTTAAATAATGAACAACTTTTGGCTGTTTCTTTCATCTTGTATTGTGCTTACATATTTCTTTATCTAGAGTTCCCATCACTAGCCTCTATCTCTGCATCTATGCCCATTAGAATCTACTTCTCCAGCTGGAAAATATTATTGATTTTTGCATTTTTACATCATGAGAGTTTTAATAAACCGAATCAGCGTGCGAGTCTGTCTCTGTCTAGCTCTCTGGCTATGCCGTGGGGGGGGGGGGGGGGGGGGGGGGGTGCGTCCTCTCATGATGCCGGCGTGTGTTCAATTATGTGTGTACATTAAGCTCTTCCTGGCAACAGGATCCAGCAGCTACCCAGTCACTCCACTGCCCCCACCGACAGGGACATGGAGCGGCGGCCCTTTCATTATGATTATTATTGAATTATTTGTATTATTGCATTATTGGTTGGTGGGGCAGCCATAATACGAGCAGGACACGAGCAATGAGCCTGTGTGGCAGTGTGTGCGTTTGAGGACGAGCAGGATACGCGCAGGATGCGACTGAATGCATTTTTTGCACCGGTAAAGCAACGAAGCCAACGGCTGGCTGTCTGATAATATTTAATTTTAATTTGTTTATGCAATGGATTTTATTTTTGTTCCTTCTTGTTACTTTTATGCTGTTTTTGTTGTTTTTTGTTGCCTTTGTGTTGCCTGAAACTCCAATTACCAGGTCTATTTGGCCTGGCGGTTAATGAACGCTATTAAAAGCAAAAATAAAATAAATACTTTGTTTGATTTTCAATTTTTCGTTGAACACGCCCCGTGCCCTGTGCCCCGAGCCGCGTGCGCCGTCTGTTTGTTGTTTGTATTTTTGTTGACTATCGAATTTCCCGGACCTCGGCCCATATGTTGGCTGTCATAAAATTGGTTTTCGGGCCGGCAAGTGGTCGAGTAGGTGGCATGCAGCAGGCTGCAATTTGCCAGCAGCTGTAGAACAAATTGCACATTACGCATACGCCGCATATGCTCTGCTCTGTGTCGCTGTCTCTCTCGCTCGCTCTCTGTGTGTATGAGTGGTGTTTTGGGTATGCCACTTAGGCAAACACAAACACAAACACTCGATCCAACAACTGTAAATGCTTGTTTGCCTGTGTGCCTGTGTGTCGAATCGTCTGACAATGCCGTTTTTGTTGGTTGTTTGTCTAAATTTAAAGCACTCTCAGGCGCCCCAAACACAAGGGTATTCCCTCGTTCTAATATCATGGGAGATACATATATGTTTATATACCTTTATATAAACCTATGCAACACGCTGCCTGCGTTCATTGAACTTCAAGCAAGCATCTGAGGAGATTTTTGTTTACTGCCGTTGGCCAAGTGCCGAATGATGAACAAACAATTTGGGTTCTAATTAAGTTTGGAATTTTCAACTTATTTGCCAAAATTATGCAGTGAAACCGGAGGCTATGTGCACGCATCAACGTAGTGCGGCCAGAGATTAGCCAGACAAATATTTGGCATTGTAATTGAAATAATTTTCAGCTGGAAAATCAATCTGATAATCATAATCATTATGTTATTAAAATTGTTCCATTTCATAGTGCATAAATCTCGTTAAACGAGCAAAACAATGCTGCTTGCTAATGAATCATTTTCAAATTCCCTTACACTTAGAAAGAGACAGAAAGCGAGAGAGAGAGAGAGAGAGAGAGAGTGAGAGAGTGGGTGGAGGAGCACTCCAGAGAGCATAGGACCCAAGGCTTAGCTGCCATGGCAACATGGCTATAATCGCTCTGCCATTTTTCCAGGAATCGTTTATAATCTTTTAAGACCACTGGGATGCTGATGCTTCTGCTGCCACTGATGCCATTGGGGCTCTTTCTTCACTGAATTCGCATCAGAATGTACTTCCCAAAAGCACTAAAACCACTCCACACCCTGCGCCCACTTGAGAGGCGAATTAATAAAATGAAATTTGATAAATGAATGTGTTTAACAGCATTTAAACTTTGACCCCTCCCTCTCCCCAATCATCTCTGCCTATACCTCCCCACCTCCCTCCCACACTCTCTCTCTGTTTGTGTTCATTTTTGGTAAAATGCTTTTCGACGCCTCACAAAATTTCATTTTCAAAAGGAAATAAAATGTTATTATACGTTTTCTTGAAAAGCACACAGAGAGAACGTCGTCGGGCGAGCATTTTCTATTTCCACTGCTTTCATTAGCCAGCGGCTACGTGGTCCAATTTTAAGTGTTACTTTTAATTTGTTTTCCTCTGTATATACACCTATAGAAGTCAGTGTGTGTGTGTGTGTGTGTGTGTGTGTGTGTGTGTGGCAGTGTGAGATTTTATTGCTTATTAAGCGTTTTTAGTTCAATTAAATCGCATAATCGATTAAGTCCCTCCGAAGTCCATGTGCCCTTAATGCCCTCGACTGTTTCTCCTTATTGCCAATGGAGTCGCCAGCGTTGTCGTTGTTGGATACGCTTAAAAAGGGTATTTTGATATTGCTAGAAAAATAGTTGATGCCGTAACAGAAAGAATTATAATTCATTGAACAGAAGTAGACTCTGGTCAGGGACGTCAACGATCCGGTTACGATGTTTCCATTGTATTCTACTCAACAAATTCAAATTGTTTGGTTGCTTTATTCAAAACCAATTTAAATGTTTCGGTATAACAGCTTTATCGATATCCAATATTATTCTACACTCATTTGCAGTTGAACATGAAGCTGTTGGTGTTGCAACTTCTGCTCCTCACTGTCCTTGTGCTGTGCCAAAAAAGAGATGCAAAATTGCCTAGACTTTTGCTTGATGCTCAGAAACGATGCCATACTGGATTCGTATTAACGACCAAAATGCGATGCCGTAAGCGATCACGCGCACATTCATGGAAGTATCAGTAAATGGGTCAGGGATAATCATAATCCCATAGCCCAATCCCGAAAATTGTTAAATAAATATCTTTGGATCAGTTAGTGTATCTTCACCTTCGGCTATCAAACCTTGCCACACCTTCTTGGCTGTCTGCTGTTGTCGTTGGTTGGCTGTTTCGCTGCGCACTCAGACGTGCGACGTAATGTCTGGCACGGCTGCCATCGTCATCTGACACCACGGCACTTGGTTCGATGACTGGGTTCGGTCCGGTCTGTAGCCTGGCCAAAGCCCTGGCTCTAGCTGTGGCTCTCTGTCGCCCCCACACCCGCCCACACAGTTGATTACTTGCTGATTGCTGACAGCCAAAACACAGCGCCAAATAGCAACAATCATCCTGGTCCTGCTTCTTTTCCTGGCTGCCTTAATTTCCCCTTCGTACCACACTGCAAGGCGGAGCTTCAGCTATTAATTGATTTGTTACAATGAAATTTCCACACTCAATAAAATAAGTCTGATGAACATTTTCCTTAATGCCGGGCAGCCAGGGAGCTTTGCTGCACAGATGCCTGCTGCCGTCCAGACAGCAGGTTATTCCCTTTCGGACTCCACGATTGAGGCTGGGCTGTAAATAAATGTTATTTACTTTTGGAGAGTCGTCCGCTCTAGATATAATGTACTTTAAGCCACATTTGTGCGCTTTTGGTCACTGGCCAAACTTGGCCAACAAAAGTGCAATAAAATAATCATAAATTTGCACATTTTTTACGCCACAATTAAATTTTGCAAATTTGGCAAATGCACAAAAATGGCTGCCACATTTTATTTGACATTTTTATGAGATTTTGTCGTCGTCGTTTCACATTCCCATATAATCCCATTCCCCTCCCAATCACTCTCCCCACAAACCATTCCCACATAGCCCATTCCGTTTCCAATTCCAATTCCATAACTGTTCGTTCCCTGGTCAGGAGGAGGCTGGTTTTTGTTGATTTATGAAGTTGATTGGCTGCCTGACAGACCAGACCCGACTTCTCCAAATGGAACTTGTGTAGTTTTTGGTTCCAACCCCCCCCTGCCCAGTCCCAGTCCCAGTCCCAGTCTTTTCGTGCAGTGTATTTGCGTGGAGCCGCACGCTTTATCGTTTATTCCACATTACTCAAGTCATAATTAAGATCTTGGCAGGCAGGCAGCAAGGCGGTGGTCGTCGTCGCACTGTGGCTCTGTGTTTGTTTGCCTCTTTGCCGCAGCATCGCAGCGGTCATAAATTGTGGAAGTGGCTCATTGACAACTTCATTTCCGCACTTGGCGTGCAGGCAACAATGAGAGCAAGATGTTCGGCAGGCTAAAGGCAGGGGGGCAGTCAGGCGGGCCAGGCGGCCTGTGATCCGCTTCTGATGATGTTGCATCGTGAACGAAGCGGTGTCTTAGCTCACACGCAACGTGCCGCCAAATGACATAATGAACTGCACTATTTATGCGACACACTGTGCGAATGCCCCCAACAAGAGAAACTACAGGGCCAGTGGCAGTGGCAAGCTGTTACTGCAGCTCTTCTTGGGGCAGGCCACAAAGAGAGACAACAAGCAATGCGTGCCATGGACTGTGCGTCGTCATAAAACTGCTGACATTTTGCCATATGATGTCACGACAGCCACAAGTGCAACAGCAGCGACAAACAGTTGCAACGGTCGTCTCTGGTCTCTGGTCTCTGGTCTCTACGTCACGTGCTGCATACAAGTGAGGCAGTGCATAGGTAGAATTCTGTGGGTCATCGTTCATCCAGTAATATTGATCGATGATGCGCTGTCATTCCGTGGAAAGATCAACAAGAGATGCAGTTCATTATGTGGTTAGAACACGAATTGATTAAGATTAATCGATGGAACAACAGAACAAGCTAGTGGGAAACAGCTGGCAAATCGCTTGTAACTGGACATTGTCTATAGGCTTTTCTTTCAGATTACCATTGTATCTGCATAACTTTAAATGTAACTAACGCTCTTTTCTGCATCTACATATATGTACAACTGTGTGGCTCGTATCTAATAGCATTTGCAAGTGGCAATCGTTCACACATTTCAGCTTATCCATTTATCTGTCTGTCTATCTCATGTATCTGTTGTATCTGTGTATCTATGTGCATATCTACTCGTATCTGCATATGTAGCCATCCATCAAATATCCAATTAAAGTCCGCTCATGCATCTTTCATCAGTCGACTCGACGCTCTGCCAGCTGCCATCTAATTAGTCTCGACAAACATTGACAAACAGATGCATTATTGCATTTCCCAGCTCCATTTTCTGTTGGCCTTTTTTCGTTTCAGCGTTTGTTTGGAGGTTTCCCCACTACGGTCTGACGTTTGGGTCTGCGAATCGGTCGGTGGGGCGCTCTGTGGTTCTGGGTTCTGTGTTCTGTGTTCTGGGCCCTGGCTCTGTATTGCGGTTTGTTTGCTGACAATTTGCAACTTTATGCATTTGCCTATAAACTATTTACAGTGTCGGGGCATTTACCGCTTTTTGATTACGCCGCATTTTGTTTGTTTCCTGTGTCCTTAATTTGCGCACCAGCACACAGCACACAGCACTCCATGACTCGTTACCTGTCTGTCCATCAGTCATTTGTAGTTATAGTTACAGCCACAGTCACTGTGTGAGATACTTCCCTCCCCGTCACATGAGAGAGAGATAGATTGATACTCTTCCTTCACGCAGGTGGCGGTAGTCGTTTCACGCGCTTTTAATTGAGTGCTTCCGCTGCAATTAACAAGTACAACGCGTCCAGAAAGGGGAAAACGCACCGCCGCAACCACTGGCGCTGACTGGTTGACTGGTCAGCAGCAGTGCGAGCCTTTGGGTCGGCTCATCAGAGGAGCCAGCTGGCCAGTTGATTCTCCCCTCTTGACTTCTAGATTACAGCATACTTACGCACTAATGCCTCTTTAAGTTAATGCAAAACCATTAAACGTGTTGACTGCCACACTTTGCACCAGAGGCCATAACAAATTGGTATCCCTGTGTGTGCGTCTGTGTGTGTTTGCGTCTTTGGCAAAAGGCAAAACAATGCATTAAGTAAATTAATCGCCAGCCAAATACAATTAACAATCGAATGTTTCATGGGAGCGTGGAGTCCTCCTGTCCCTTGCCTTTTCCTGCCCGCTGTTTTTGTGCCTCATTTTTAATTTCCGCTGCGCGTGTGCCGTGTCTCCGCTGTCTCCTCTTACTTTTTATTTATTTTTTGTTGTTTTTTTTAGTTGGTGGCAATTCATTTACAACACACAAAGTCATGTTGCCGCTAATTTGGCGAATCGATCCCTGGGATGCCTGTCGGCGAGCTCTCCGGTTGCAGAGTATTTTATTTTTTAATTTAAAATCCCTGCCGCCTGTCCATGGCACGCAACAGCAACAGCAGCAGAAGCAGCGTCACATTAAACGCATTTTCCAGAGTGTGAGTGAGAGAGAGAGAGAGAGAGAGAGAGAGAGAGAGAGAGAAATCACAACAATTTTCCCAGCTTCCTTTTGCTACGCTTCTAACCAATTTCCATGTCCCCACACTGCCCTCGCACCCCCGGCGTTTCCAGCTGCCAGTTCTACAGTTTGCAGTTTAGTTTTGCAATTTTCCGGCTCAACGATAAATGCAAATAGATTTCACCTGCAGACGACTACGACGACAACGACGACGACTACGACGATGTTTGTCCAATATTGAGAGAGAATCTTTAAATAAATTATGCGCATGGAATTTTCGTAGCCAACTTCAGCAGCAGCTACAGCTTCGGCTTCTGCTCTTTGGATACGTTGCATGCAACATCAGAGTGTAGCTGTTGCTGCTGCTGCTGCTGCCTGTAACTGTTGTTGTTCGCTTTCGGCTTTGGCATGTTGGGAATCATGTATGACTTTGACATTGACAGCATTGAGGCAGCAATATGAAGGCAGCTTACAGCTGGCAGGGGGAGTGCTGTGATTACACATACAACAGCATGGCTATGGTGCAGGCAGGGAAATGCTACAAAAAATTGTACATTTTACGCTTATTTACATTTGTACAGTTAGTTTTTGGCATGCACTGAAAGAAATTGTTGGCATTCGCTTGTCAACAGTTGAGAAGGGTAAAGGCTGTGGCATTGGGGTTGGGGTTGGGGTTTTTGGAGGATTATTGATGCTGTCAATATTTGGCAGTTTACCTTTTTGTGACAGCCAATTGAATGAGATAAATTATGCAATGAAAGAGACAGTAACAGAGAGTGAGAGCATTGCCTCGCAGATATTCCCTCTGTTTCTGTCAGTTCTCATAATTTCCGTCAGACATCAGTCAATCATTAAGGATGATTGAGCCTGCAGCTTTGTATTTGGATTATGATAAACGTATGATGGACATATGGCCATAAATCGCCTCGGGTCGTTCTCTGGACTTTGCTAAATCCATTTTCTGAGTGTAGTTTCCATATGAGCGAGCACTCAATTTCCGCTCAATCCTCCCCATGCCTCATGCCGTGTGCCTGCCCTTCCCTGCCACAACCACGACGCCACACAACTCCATTCAATTAGCAACTCATAATAACAATAATTTTTCTTTTGCAATTCGCATTCGGTAAAACATTTTGCGGGCACGTTCTTTGGGCCAACAGTGTTCGTGACGCTGCCTCTTTGGCAGCGCCCCCGCGCCCTTGCTGCTAAAGAAGCCGCACTAGCCTGCCCCGTGCCGCACCGCCTGCCTCCTGAACCCTGAAGCTCTAGGCATTGACTGCAACAATGTTTCCTGTTAAATGATGCATAATAATCGGGATCGAGCGAGGGAGGTAGGTGGGGAGAGTGGGGCAAGCACCCACAGGAGGATAGAGAACGCTGCCGAGCTTTGGTGGCTTCAATGAGGTGAAAGGAGCTGCTCCCTGGCTGGCTGGCTGGCTGCAGCGCGACTCAATGGGATGTGGGACAACATTCCATGCTGGGAGGCACTATAGAAATCACTCGTAGATACGGGGAGGAGACACAAACATGCATGACGTACCGTCGTCGTACTACGTATTACAGTCATGACGATGACGATGACGAGAACGACGACGTTGATGTGATTGTGATTGTGGATGTGTGTGCTGGTTGCCGTTTGATGGTTGCTGCCTGCTGCCTTGCCGGACACAGACCGCAATATAACCCATACAATTGCAGAGGTATGTCCATACTTTCAGCGTTTTACACACATTGTATGGCTCTTGCCTGCACGCCCACGTTCCATGCACCATGCCCACCGCCTCTGCACTTTTTGGCAACGCCCACCTTGCGCTGAAATTGCTGACGGCTGCGGCTTGTGGTTGCACTTTGCTGCGTAGCTTACGAAAATTCCCTTGGCTTCCGTTAGCTTCCACCAAAAACTGAGTTTCTTCTTCAGCTCCTGCTTCATCTCTTTCGCGCTGCTCCTTGCACTTTCTGTATGCCTGTGTGCGTGTGCGTGTGCGTGTGTGTGTGTGAATGTATGTATTATTTACTCACTTGAACTGAAACATTTTTATAATTTTCTTCTCTTTTTGTTCTCGGACGTTTGTGTTCGGTGGTTCACATCCTCATCTTCGCTTGACCATCGGTTTGTGGTTCTGCTTTTCGGTTCTCTGGCTCTTCCCAGTGGCTCTCTCTTGCTTTCTTTATATATTCTCGTTCGTTTTTCGGTTTTCGCTTTTATTATTTTATTGCATCTTTTGTTGCTGTTGTTTGGCTCGTTGGCCATTGGGCAACATTGTTATTTTCTGCTATTTGGCCATTGACTATTGACTATTGATCAGCCATCGCTCCCCGCTCGTTCTGGCTCTGCTTCTGTGTTC